CCTTGTCGTCCAACAGCCTGACAGCTTTCTCACGGTCTTCCAAAACAGGTTGCTGATCAGGCTTGCTAACCTCCGTGAGGATGCTTGGAGCGAGGCTTGGATCACAGAGGATCTTCTCCCCTTTGAATACGGCTCGACACGACATGGGCTAAACAGTTAGACTTTACAGGCAAATATGCTGCTGGAATTAACCTTGCTCTTCCGGGGATCGATTCGAACAACGAATCCAGAGTTTAGGCGTGACTTATGCTTAAGAACATGGTTGACACAGGTTTGGATCTGTCTTTGTTCAACTATCACTCGACAGGTGTACGACGATTTTCAAGTCCGGCTGATTGGCTTACCGTTCCCTCAACACCGAACTGGATGTGCGTTTGGGTTACATACCGAACCAATTGGCTGAAACTTTCTGGCGTTCCACTGATGTCAATCCGGTGCAGACGGAGATCACTTCTGAGACACCCCATCATTTCCTTCATCACCTTCCACACGTTCCTCTCGGCGATGCTAACGCTTTCGAGGACATGAAGTGCGGCAGACTTTACCTGAAGTGGTAGACCACGTCGTCTCAACAGCCGGTCAATCAAACTGTCGTTCAAACTGATTGGAATGACTCATCTGAAACGCCAAGTTGTTGGAAACACTGTCGGCAATCAGCTAACATTCGATCTTAGTTGTGACTGCACAAACGAATTTTAAGCAATCCAGTTCCGGCATTGACGAGCAAACTGAACTTGTTTCCTTCTAAACGGGAAAAATCTACTTGGATCAACATCGTATGATGGTCAACAGGTGTGCTACGAGACTCTGCTTTGACTTATCTACTCGTCCATGAGGCAATGTGGACCTTATTTTGATGCAGTAAACACATCGGCTGTCGAATGGAATATGCTCATATCGACGATGCAACGACAGTCCACGACCCAACTCCCTCGAGAATTCTGGATCCTTGGTGACTTCACTCGGCGGACAAGGCTCTTGGTCATCATGTGGCCTTTCGACCACATCTTCAAGATCACCTGGAGCGGTCAATGGATGGTCGGCAGAACTGAGAAAGCCATGATCTTGACTGGTGTCACGGTGATTGGGCTCATTTCTTGCGGCTCTCGGCTCAACCTCTAACGTTGTTGATCGCAAGGTGATCTTCAAACCTCAAAACCTTCACATAATCTAGTTACGTACCATGGTTCATGGACCCTTTTGGGTGGGTGTCAGAGAGGAAAAACGACACTTTCGTACTCTTTCTATGCGGACTGGACGGTATCTGACCATCCGAGCTTTCATCCTTTGAGGTTTCACACAGTGGTTTATTATTGAACTATGCCGAAACAGCTCGTTTCACAGTCGTCCAAATCATCACTGGTCCAAGTGTCCACTGTCAATTTCACTTTCATTTCTACATCCTGATCTTTTCCACGAGGCTTGCGCTGCTGCGCTCGGCTCCAAGGTACGTTTGCCCAGATCTCGTAATCCAGGCGCCTGATGTCACTACTTCGGATGTGACATTGGTCAGGCTCAAACATGAACGTCGCACCGAACTTAGTCAAACGGCAAACGCTCAGGAGGTTATGCTTGACTGGATCGATGACGGCTCAAATCTCGCACTTGACTAACTCGTCTCGATCGCATTCATCGTTCTTAATGGTGGTTAGAAAATTGACTTCGAGCATACATTCATGATCGATCTGAACCTGTTCCCCTGAGGCAGTACGAAACTGGATAGGAATTGCTAATGCGCGTTCACAAAATACCTCATAGGTTGAACTCAAGGGATATCACTCTGTGGCTTCCACTAGGATCAACCAACCAAAGACAGGGATCTGCACTTTGCATGTTCTGACACATGAAAAATGGCTGGGCAACATCTAAACTATGGAGTGCGGAGAAACCACCTCCATCCTTAACCTCCGGCTCAGACCATTCACATCCTACCTTGGACTCTGATTGTAGCTGGAATTCAGTTGCTCTTTACCCCTTGAATTTTCCTTTCACCTTTGTTGGATGACCTTCCTTCCTTTCCTTTTCCATCACCCTTGTTTGATCCTTTGGAATTGGGTTCACCTTTTGACTTGAAGCGACTCTTGTTGGGCCAATCGGCAGTAAGGTAACCTCTTTGGTTGCAATGAAAACGTGTTCTAAACTCACTGCTATTTCCAAGTCCTTTTCCCTTTTCTGTGTTCTCTTGAGTCTTCCCTTCTTTGCCTTTCGGGACAAACTGTCCCTGCTGATCTCCGAGGGTTGCAATCGGCCGGCCATGGATCTCAGTCCAGATCCTTTGCTACGATTCGTAACGAAGTGCGACTTCTAGATACGTATCGAAGCTTTCAACCATGGCACAGAGAACAACCAACTGACGGCATTGGTTGGGCAAAGACCTCAACATCAACAGAGCCTTATTGCCCTCTTAGAACCCTAGTCCTCGGACATCTATTGCTGAGTCGACAGGCTGAGACACACTTTCGGGCTGGTACAATTCAGATTGTACCTTTCTCACAGCTTCGGGAACTGACTTTCCGGTGATGGATGCATTGGTTAGTTGCGAACGAAAGAAAAGAAGCTTAGTTCTGGCTTTCACTGCATACTCTTTAGCTAAAAGCTTGAGACATTCAAAACCACAACATCGTTAAAAACCTTGTCATCCTCACAATTACGGATGACCAACGATGTTTTGGCACTGTTCTCGAAGTAAAGCTTGAGTAGAGACATCATCCGGACGGATCATGTCACCTGGCTTGAAGTCAGGCGGTGCCATCCTAAGGGCTTGCACTCACGAAGTGCCGACAAAGTTTCAGAGGTCCATACATTTGATCCAAGTCCGGTCCACGATGCCAATGAGGTGACCCATTCTATTACGAACACCACTATTTCAGCAGGCTTTGACTTCCAATCCTAGATGGATGGGTTGGCACAGGTGGCATCCACCGTTCCGATCTCTTGAACGGATTTTCATCATTCTGTCCCCTGAACTTTTGAACGAATCCCTGAGGAGTTTTAACAGTGATCGGGATCGTCTGTGGATTCAAGCTCTGGAAACCGGGTGGTGGAGGGATAACCTGGCTTAAACTCTGATTGGATGATTGACTAGCAAATGGTTGTGTTTGTTCTGGACTATTGGCCATGCTGTATGAACAGGGTCGATCCGGAATTCCTACGGCTTGGGTTGAACTATTATGATATTGCTGCTGTTGATCTTGGTTCACCCAAGGATCAATCGCGAGTGATCCTATCGAGATGCCGAGGGATGTCCGGCGGGTCGCCGTATTTGCATTCGGATTATCGCTTTTCGATTGATTCACCTGACTAGGTAGGGCGAACGGAGCTTCAGCTTCGGTTGAGATCGGCTGCGAAGGCGGTTACAACGTCCTGTCAAGAAAAAGTTTGTGTTGCTGGAGGAGTTGGCATTTATGCTTGGTTCGAACTTCCAGCTTGAGGATTCGTCTGAATGCTTAGCACCTGTTAAAGTATAGGTCCTAAATTGCTTAATGTGCTGGCTATATGACCTACTCGATTCTTAAGAACTGCTAAGCGTCTTTGACTCAAATTCCCTTTTTCAGGACGGATATCCTGCCCTGCACGTCGAGACACTGAACGGTCACGAGGTTCTCTGGATCTTTCGCGAGGAGGACCAGCATTGCCAGATTCATCCATGGCGCCCGATCTACGGATGTGAGGCTAGTGAACAAATCTAGGCAACCTTCTGTCCTACGCTCCTTTACAGGAGCTCCGCTACCATATGAGAACTCACACCTTTTAGAGTTCAACTAAAATGTCAACACAACAAAATGAAAAGTAAGTGATGTACACTTCTCGAGTTGTGCTCGACTGCGAAAGTCGACACGCGGCCCACCGATCCCACGCGAAGCTGCGTCTTTTCGCTTCGCCTTGAGCCAACCGGTACGGATGGCAGCTTCGAGTACTTTTGTTCTACACTTCTCGATTTGTGCGCCGAAACGCACGACGGCCAAAAGCGGTGTGTGCAACCGCGACCAACTGAACCAAGTGATCGAACGAAACGAAATGTGGTTGTCCTATTAGTTGCTCAGGGTGCCTATATTTCACACCACCACCACCACCACCACCATACACAATTGAGCAGTGTTTCGTTTTGTGGGATAGGCTTGCATCGACAACTCCGAAGTTCTTACGTCAACTTCTAAGGACTTCATTGGTTGAGCATCCGTGATGGATAAACTGGAACACTGTAGCACTGCCAAGTGAAGCAATCTGAGCTCCTCTTTTGCATGGTGCTCGGAGATTGCAAGACGCTCAGTCGATTGGCCTTCACAAAACTGGTGGTAAGAGCTACAAGCGGGCGTTCTCTCTGGCTTGGAGCCAAGCATCGAAGTGCTACAAACTCCAAACTGAACAAAGTCTCCACACATGCAAGACTAAAGTCTCCAGAGAGATTAAATTGGCCGCTTTCACAAGTTGTGGATGGGTCCCAGAACCCCAAGCACTTGTGCTGTGATGTGAAAAAGAAACTCTGGAAGGTTCCCAATGGCGGTCCAAAGAGAGCTACAAATGAGTTCCGTGATCAAACCAGGCATTGTCCGGGCGCTCAAAAGCCCTACACTTCGACCGGTGTGACCAAAAAGAACCACAGAATCACATTCAAAACAAGGCTTGGATAGCAAAACATTTGCATGTAAAGACACAGGTGATGAATCCAGGTCCGTTGAAGCTATATCATTCACAGAAATGGCACAAGTTGCGACTAGGGCTGGGACTTGTCCAGAAGAAGCCGGGCTCAGGGAGAGGATGATACTCAAAAACAAGGCAGCACGCAAGATCAGGTTCTCTACAATAGAACATCCCCTGGTTACTGTAGCAGGGAGTAATTTCCAGATTCATGGTATGAGTAAGCAGTGGCCACTAGGTCCTTTGGACTACTCACCAAGCCTGCTTTTTTAAAACTTTTGTCCATGAGTCGATGAGATCAAATTTATGCCACCCCACCAGGAAAGAAAAGCCACGCTCGTTGAACCTGTAAAGCATGGTACTGCCACTGCCTTCAACTAGTATCTTCACAAGCCAAACTCATATGTACTTTAGCGCCCCTTGCTACTGCCTTACATACCCCCCTAGAACCCTTTGAATGTGCTGACTGCTTCCTTGTTGAGGTAGGGCGCGCAGCTCTCCTGGAACTCTTGAAGGTTGGCCACATGAACCTGCACGCCGTGAGTTTCAAGACGTTCTTATCTGTAGAGCGCTCTCTAGGTCACAAAGGGACAAGCTGCGGCTATCAAGCAAAAATTGTTGGGGCGCTGAGCCCTAAAGACCCTCCAAAGGTTTCAACAACTCCCTCCAACTCTCCACTCTCCACCGACCTGTAGTTCCAAAGTGCTCCAGTCCAAGCGCCAGGCAAGACCACGGAAATGCCTTCACATATTTTCTCTAGGAAGACCAAGAGAGGCGAAAGTATGTTGAAATAGCTTCCATTCAAATGGCTGCATGGGAAACAACTACATGATCATTTGATGAGAAAATCACTGCTCTCTTGGATTCTCCCAGTCCCCACCTCATTGTGATGCGGCGCAACACCTCGCTGCAGTTCTAACAAACTCACCTTCACTGGGAAAGAAACATGAAGTACAGTATCTTGTATTGTGGTTTGCTACCTTGGGGTGCATAGGTTTAACTTATTGGTGTTCTTATGGCACCAGCTATGTTAAGCCACTCAATCTTTGACCCTGGGCATTCATTCCTAGCCGTCCTAACCAGGAATCATACCCAGGGTATCAGTAACAATGCCCTCCTGAACAGGGTGGCTCAACCAATACATGCCAATACCTCACACATGCATGACCTTGCATCCCATGTGGAGCACAAATTGCAAGCTGGTATAAGATATCCAGGCTTTGTCTAGGCCTAGGCAAAAACCAATGTTCGGAGGAAGATGCGAAAAAAGGACTGCTGAGTCGAGGAAAGTTTACCTTTAAAATCCGAGCCTTCAGCAACTTCAGAGCAGGAAAGGTGTCTTCATCAATAAAAGAATGTTCGCATTTTTTCCGCAAGAATGAAACCAGAAACAAAACTAGTGTTGTTCCCTGAAGTTGATTGTAGGAACCCCTCCAACTTGCTCAGGCCTGGTGCACCATGGTCTTCATTGAATGGGCACCTGCCGGTGTGGTGCTCTCCAGCGTCTATCAAACAATCATAGAGTATATAGAGTCTATGCTAGATTAAAAGCATAGGAAACAAAAAGGTGGACTTGGATCCTTCAACAATGGGCCTTGTTGAAGCGGCACAAATCCACCTTCTTGTCTTCTTTTCTTTTTGATTTACTCATCGTCATAGACCGTCTACAACCTTGTATCCATTCATTAGATAAGTCTGTGCCTTCTCTGACAGCAAATGAGCTTTTGGGGAAGGCTTGCTAGGTGGTGAAGTTCCTCAGCCGGGATTTTTGACTCCAAAGAGATTTCCATTGTTGAGAGTCGATTTAGAGCGACTACATCATTCAATGCGACGAGGGCTCCAGTTTGCCTGCGGCAGACACTTGCTCCCTGCAGGACAGCTCGGTTAATTGAGGCTTGATTCAAAGAAGACCAAATCTGAGCGCTTTCAACTGGTTGGCAAAGGTGTTCCTGGCTGCCTACCATCCATAGCCATTCCTTCTAAGGGTGGCCAGCGTGTCAGAACTTGAAAACAATTGGAGATTCCTTGGATTTTCCCCGCGAACACTTCTCTGGTACAGTGCAATTGGCAGTTCCTTTGGTCTTACCTTCGCTTCGCTGAGTGGAACACAATTGAATGTCATTTACTTGACCCAACTAGGGGCTCCTGGCCTTACTACTAGGAACAAGGATGCTATTAGGAGCAAGGACGCTACTAGGGGCTTAGTAAGAAAAACATTCATTTGCTTGACCCAACTGTGTCTCTCACGATAACCGGAAAGACCAAGCACAGCATCCAACGGGTTATAGCAAAATGCAAAGCTGCAAAGCCCATTCGTTGGAGGGTTCCCTCTCGCACTCTCTTTACCACCACCCAAGAACACTCATAGAAAATGAACCCAAACCTGATGTGCAGTACCAACTTAGAGCTATATATATATATTCTTCCTCCACCATTCCAACCACATCAACTGACAGCCTTCGCCATCTGCGCGCTGCCTTGGCATGGGGACCATGACACTTTCTAGCAGCTAGCAAAGGCAAGGGATGCCTTTGAGACTCGTGGCGCGTTTGACACCTACAGTGGCTCCTCCTCAGGTCTTGCGGATCCTGACTTAAATGGAATCGGACAGTCCCATGTGGCGCCCCAACAGCAAAGTGTGCATCGGCAGAAGCAGTCGATCGCCTCCCTGGCAGACTCGGGTAAGGACAAAAAACCTGGTGGGCGTGTCATCTGATGCCAACTGTTCAAAGGTTGTTCCAGTTCACCGCATACACACCCAAACACTTCAGAAAGCCGTTTGGTCCAGGGTATGACCACACTTCTCTCAGATGAAATTGCAATTCCGGCAAGAACAATGAATCAATCAAGCTCCACCACATGCCCAGAATGGTTTGAAGCTTCCTTTCTTCAAGCCTGTTTTCTGTTAGGCCTTTCCGGCTGCTCTTTCAGCCTCTCAGCCAAATCCAGACTTAAGTTTAAACGAGTTGAAAAGGAAGACCCAGAAGGAGCATGTCCAGCAAGAAAATGCTGTGTTGTGAAACATGCTGACTTTGCACTTGACTTACAACGAAAACGTCTCAATGAAACAATTGTCCCTCAGACCTACTTCGACTACCTCCTGGGTTTCCGAATACATCAGCCGATATCTAGTTGAGCTTCGCAACAGAAGATTTCTGCAGCGGCCTCGACCAGCATCAAAAACTCGGCCATGTCAGTGGCTTCTCTAGTTTGTCTACTCGAGACTTCACAGCAAGAATTGGATTTCAGCATCTTTTTGGATTGCAGATCTGTTCCAATGGTCCAGAATGGGAACTAACCAGATTGAGCTGATAACATAACTTGGCTTGCCATCAATAGGATGATGCCGACACAAACGAACAAGGGAAGTTTAATTGTTGGCAGCCTAGACTGCCTACACTGCAGGGTCACCCTGAAATCATCTTTCAAGGTCAATTTGAACGAGAGATTGTCCAAACAAAATCTATCAGCCTTGGTAATCACCAGCAAACTCCAGAAACAAAGCGACGAAGCTGACCACCCCCAAAGCCGGTTCTGTCGTCCACCAGACGAGGGAGACTCTGGTAAGACATTTTACAGCCCCTCACACTAAATTTGCAAGTTCTACTACAGTATTGTGTGAAAACAAAACATTTGGGTGCTGAATTTCTTGCTGTTTGAGCTCACAAGCTCACCGAAAAATCTCATCGGCCATGTCTCACTTTTCTGTCACTCACAAAATGATGTTGCCCATAAATCCATGACCGTGGTTGATGGCAGCGAAGTAGGCGGCGAAGACCAAGGACACGATGGCTTGAAGCTTCATGACCTCAGAATGGACATCCACGGAAGCCGCTGAATTAGAGCTGTCAAGGCTGTCAACTTGTGAAGCTTTCGGCTTTCACCTTCAAGTCATTCAAGTCCTCAACAGCTCCCAAAGGCCTTCCCTCATTCTCCGAAAGCTGCCAAGAGTCGATATTCAAGGCAGGTCCGGAGGTGTCCTGAACATTGGGTGGCCTCCAACCTAATTGCAATGGCCTCCAACCTACTAGCGAGCGCCTCCAACCTACTAGCGATGGCCTCCAACCTAATTGCAATGGCCTCCAACCTACCAGCGATGGCCTCCAACCTAATTGCAATGGCCTCCAACCTACTAGCAAGGGCCTCCAACCTACTAGCGATGGCGTCCAACCTACAGTAATTGCAATGGCCTCCAACCTACCAGCGATGGCCTCCAACCTAATTGGAATGGCCTCCAACCTACTAGCGATGGCCTCCAACCTACTAGCGATGGCCTCCAACCTAACTGCAATGGAGTCAAACCTACAGTAATTGCAATGGCCTTCAAACTAATAGCACCTAATCCTTTGGTTCTGTTCAAAATGTTGCTTTGCCGCTCTTTCCCACCGCCCGTCGTCCTTGAATGGATCTCCCACAGTGTCACCCTGCACTGCCGCATCGTGGGCTTCCTTGGCCTTTGGCGCGGCATCCTTCTCTTCCTGCGATTTACACAGCGAGGAATCCTACTCACCGAAAGGATCTGAAGGGCCCAACTGACAGCGAGATCTGTAAACTTGAGTTGCTGTCGGATATTTGGACTCTCTTCCAAACACTTGTTTGCGGTCAAACAGAATGCTTTTCCTGAGGCCCTTCCTTACCCTCTCCTGCGTCTTGGGGTTCTTGGTGTACCGCAGCTCCGGATCATCGGAGAAGCCGTTCCTGATTGAGCAAGTGTCCATTGCAGCACTCAAAACTATATAACTATCTAACAAAAGGGCCGCTTACAGCTTCGCGTTTAGTTTGTGAGCCTTCTTTCAACAAATAGTAGAAATTTGCATATGTTGCTGATCTATTGTCTGACAACCCCAATCGCAAAGGCAGATTCAATCGTTGCATCGAGGTGCTTGATGAACTTCTTGCAGTTGTCCCAGGCACCGCCGGAGTTGGACATGGAGATAGCAAGCTGCACTGATGAGCCCAAGGAGCCAGTCAACAATCCAAAGACGGCCTGCTGAAATGGCTCTTTCTATCACCTCTTGTCATCTCTTGCAAAACAAGTTCCCCAGAAACTAGTTCAAGCCCCCCCTCATCTGCTAGTACTTCGAAGCTCATTCTGCTAATACTTATCACTTCCTCCAAGATGAGGGAAGGGAAGCAACTTTGTCGGCCCTTGCTGCTACTTGTGAGGGGACATTGGGCGACGCCTGGACACCGAAGAATGTTCCTGCCAACAGCGGGGACAAGATCACCAAGCACGCTGGTGCCACCATCTCCTCACAAGACAAAGTCATGTCCTTTTGGGTGTTACTGTGTGCGACACTGCGTGCTTCAGTGACACAAATCAAGATTGGATGGCACCTAGGACCTCAGGTCTGGCATGGATTCACCTGTCTCGGAAGACATCTAGTGACTGACTAGTAGTGGAGCTTGAGGCTTTCTTAGAAAGCGCAAAACCAGTCCTTCAAGGAGGCTGCTGTGGAGATCTGAATGCACGTCAATGAATCTGGCTTCAGCTCAGTGCCTGCAGCCCAACCAGAAGAAAATGGAAGATGTTTAAAATAGGCATGTTCTGATTGCGTTCTTTTCATGTATATAATTGTATAATGTATGTGTATATATATATACTGTAAATCCTTATGTGGTATAGTAATAAAATGGGAAGTGGACATGTCCTGCACAACGTCTGGCCCATTCATGTTCTTGCACCTTGTCCAGATGCTTTCTCCACAAAAATCTCCGAATCATTCTGAATCATCGGTTCAATTGAATTCTCTGGGCGTCACAACTATCACATCTCCTGGATTTGTCTTGTAGTCCTGAGGAACACAACTACCTCTGCATGCTTGAACTCCTGGTGTCAGAGTTCCAGCCAAGGCCAAGCGGCTTCCGTCGAGCAAGGTCTTGCCCTTGGAGTCCTCCATTGCTCGACAGTGAACAAAACAGCTTTTCATGGTAATGTGACAGTGCCGCAGGTTCTCACTATAGTCACCAGGCACTTCGTCAGGTCCTCTCCTCGGTGCAGGCTAGTACCTTTCTAAGCTGCCTGAGCTTTGTCTTTGCCTTTTCTTCCGGCCCTTCAAGGCGAGCTCGCATGCTTTTCCCAGGCAGAACATACAAATCGGGTAGATACTCTTCAAAGATCTTCAAAGAGTATTTCATTGGGGAGCGGTGGAGAGGTTGTATCCAACTCAGGCTGTATACTCTGACTGACAATCTGGGAGATGTTGGCATCTCATTCCGAAGCAGTGCTGTTTGGGTCCCAACACAGGCACGTTTTGTTGAAACCGCAAAGCAAGAGAAAGCTAAACGTAAAGCTAAACGCCAAAACAATTGCTACTGGTGACAAGTGCATCGCTACAACAAGGGCATTACTACTAGTAGCACTCCCAGTTCTCCTTGAGGCTGAACTGTCGCTTCACCTCTGCGACCATCTCCCCAGCAGCCTTTCCCACACTCTTCATCGTCAGCGCGGCGAACCAGTAAGGAATCATGCAACCGATGATGAGGAAGGCCTCAGACGGGAAGGTGCGGAATTGGTAATTAGATGTGATTCAGCGGTTAAAGGGGTACCCAAGGCGGTTCACACGGAGAATAATTGTCTGTAAGGACTTCTCAGGCGCTCTTTTGCGTTGAGATGTCGGAAATCGGACTGATATATCTGCCGACCCTCTGTGCAAACAGAGGTGACAATTGTCGAAAGCTTTTGCTGCAAAGATGTGAATGTGAATCTTTCCTCTATATATGTAGAATTTGGACTTGGCTTTCACCCTGCCCGCAGGCTTTCTCTCTGTTCCTTTTCTTGTTATTCATCTTCTTGCTCTTGTTATTTTTATTGCTCCTCCTCCTTCTCTTCTTCTTGCCGTTGTTATTTTTTGGTATTCTTCCCTGCTGCTGTCCCGTCCTCACGGACTTCAACAAGTGTCTTCTTATCGGACGGACCTGGCCGAAGGCCAAGCTCCCTCAGGCTGCGTGGTAAATTGCATCAGCAACCGAGGAGTTCTTGGCTTTGCCCGTTGCTCTTTAAGCTGAACGACTGTCTCAGGAATTGGCACAATGCCTTCAAGATTGAAATGGCATGCCGATAGTTGTCAGTTTCGATCTGTGTGCAATGAAATTGTCCTTGGGATCTTGAGGAAAAGGATATTGCTAACTGCAGATCACTTTCTCCATGTTCTAGCTCTTTTCTCCTGACAGGGCGTTTTCTTCTGAAAGCAACAAAGGCACCAAAACTGGGATGAAGGCCACGTTTTGTAAGACACAATCCGTAGCACAAAGAGAAGCATTCAAACTTGAAAGTCTTCATACAGAATGATGACATCAAAAACAGAGTCGAGGCGAAGACGACAGACCACTGACAGCAAACAAACAACTTTAAACAATGTCAGTGCATCTGCAACAAGTTTGAAAAAGGTCGATTCCCGATATGCTTCGGGCATCCATGAAAACATGCTTCTGCTTGCCCTAGATACTTCCTTGCGACAATATGTATGACAATGGAAGCATTCAGCCCATGTTTGCAGTGGACAAACGTCATCTTCATAGCAACAAGAGACTCCAGCTCCGCCCATTTGTGCCAACCCCCGTTCTGTAATGATTAACAAACAACACCAAAGGCACATATCTATATATATATATATATGTATGTACTTTCTTTGTTGTGAGCACCTCTTCGGTCGGTCCCAAATGCAT